ACCCCTCCGACATTCTGATTATTATTCACATTAGTAACATTCTTATGATTCATATTATCACGAATATTAGTATGAAAATTCTTCTTATTGTTGTTAATGGTATTCATATATACCTACTGACCAGAAAGCGCGTGAACAAACGGCTTAAAAGCTGCCGTAGCCTTAGACCAGTCGGCGAGTCCCTACAACCCAAAGCGACGGAGGTGCCAGCATCAATGGAGGCCCAGGGGACGGATGACGGATGTTTGGGAGTTAGGGTTCACCCGGAGCATTCCTCTCCTTCCCCGCAGCAGCTTGCGCATGCACATCTTCTAGATTCACTTTGTAGTTTCTGAGACCCCAGGACCGGTTCCATATGTATATCTGGAACTCGTGCCAGGTGCCCCGTGTAGACATGACGATGATGTTGCGACCCAAAAAGCAACCAAGTCTTCAGAAGCACTGGCTTGAAAGTAATTGAATGGGAGGCCTCTCTATCAAAGTCCTTCTCAGCAATTCATGTCAGGCACGGAACGCTGTGGCCCCCCGAGGTCCTTAGAGCTGCCCAACTTTTACCAGAGTCTCTTCGCAGGATCCGAGTTTCAGCTACGACTCGAAGTCAATCAAGTTACGGTCTGATTTAGAGTAGGTATGTTAATAATATTCACAGAAATAATATGAATTATCAGAACAAGATTAATAATATTAGTAGGAATAGAAATAAGAACAATGTTAAGAATATTCATGGTAATATTCATCCTCGAAACTCTGAGGTGGCACCTCCCTCGCTTTGGATCGTAACCTTCGGCCAAAGGCTTCGACAGTCGCCATGACGCACATAACGGCTTAAATCAATGACCTGGCTGCGTGCCCCCGGGAACAGAGGAGCCCCAGCATGAATCCTAGGCTGGAATGTACCGGTCAATGTGGGGGCTTCCTAAACTGTACCTGTTTGGGGCCCTTAACAAAAAGGGGGAATCCTACTATTGAGGGGTTTAGAATCTACCGGCCAATGTCAATCATTCACATCTGAGGGCTTCCGAAATTCGGGGCGCCTCTGCTATTTGGGGGTTTATATTTGGGGCCCCTTACTTTCGTAAAACGGCACCACCAGGCTACCAAGATTAAACTAACTACCCAGACCCCGACAAACTAAGCCTGATTTAGCGCTGAACTCAACTTAGACAGGATTTCCAGGCTCATGGGCTTGCGCTAGAGCTGCTACTAGTAGAGGCCATTTTGCGTGTACATCGATAGCAGGCCATGGACGCAACTACCTTCGTCAGAGCACAGGCTTTTTGATCAGAATTTCGAGGCTCACTTCTTGATTTTTCAGGAGCCCTCGCCAGACCCCTATGAGTCCCTGTCGGGTGAGGCTCGTCCGACCAACTTGTCAAATGCGGGTTGCAGCCAGGCAGGAACGGGTAACGGCTTGCTGCCGGCTCGAATCACGGCTGTGTTTGAAGCAGCAAATGTTCTGCATCGCACGCATCTTGTTCTTTACTGCTGGAGTTGTTTGTGCTCGCACTTTGTGGGAAACGTTTTTGCTTCCGCACGGTCTTCTGCCGGCCTCATGAATCTGCAGGGGTTGGCTGCCTTAGCTCAGCTTGCGCCATGTACCTTGGTTCAACAGTCGGCTTCATGCCTCTTTCAGTTGACAGTAGCCGAGCACGTGTTACCGTAAACAGCTGTGTTGGAATGGCATGCAAGGAAATCATCCGCTGCCGAAGTTGACATGTTGAGTCACCGCAAAAACCCCCCTAATCCCCAAAAAAAACCCGAAGCAAAACAGGGTAAACGCAAACCCTCGGCCGCAGGTTCTGCTGACCTGCGGCAAGTCGTGCCAGACAGGAGACAAATTTGATGGTAAACGAATGAACAGATTGTCTATGTGTGTAAATGTGTATATTGAGTGTGCAGGTATGTAAATGTGTGAGTGTGCGTGTGCTTGTGCGTTCGCGCGCGCGCGCGCGCGGGCGTGCGTGCGTGCGTGCGTGCGTGCGTGCTGCGGGCGGGCGGGCTCGGCGCGGGCGGGCGGGCGTGGGTGCGTGCGCGTGCGTGCGTGCGTGCGTGCGTGTGTGCGTGGGTGCGTGCGTGCGTGGGTGCGTGTGCGTGTGTGCGTGCGTGCGTGTGTGTGCGTGTGTGTGTGCGTGTGTGCGTGCGTGTGTGCGTGTGTGCGTGTGCGTGCGTGTGTGCGTGTGTGCGTGTGTGCGTGTGTGCGTGTGTGCGTGTGTGCGTGTGTGCGTGTGTGCGTGTGCGTGTGTGCGTGTGTGCGTGTGTGCGTGTGTGCGTGTGTGCGTGTGTGCGTGTGTGCGTGTGTGCGTGTGTGCGTGTGTGCGTGTGTGCGTGTGTGCGTGTGTGCGTGTGTGCGTGTGTGCGTGTGTGCGCGTGTGCGCGTGTGCGCGTGTGCGCGTGTGCGCCGTGTGCGCGTGTGTGCGCGTGTGCGTGGCGTGTGCGCGTGTGCGCGCGTGTGCGCTTGTGGCGTGTGGCGCGCGCGTGTGCGCGTGTGCGCGTGTGCGCGTGTGCGCGGGTGCGCGTGTGCGCGTGTGCGCGTGTGCGCTGCGCGTGTGCGCGTTGCGCGTGTGCGCTCGCGTGTGCTCGTGTGCGCGTGGTGTGTGTGCGCGTGGCGCGTGTGTGTGCGCGTGTGCGCGTGTTGTGTGTGTGTGTGTGTGTGTGGTGTGTGTGTGTGTGTGTGTGTGTGTGTGTGTGTGTGTGTGTGTGTGTGTGTGTGTGTGTGTGTGTGTGTGTGTGTGTGTGTGTGTGTGTCTGTGTGTGTGTGTGCGCGCACGTGCGCTCGTGTATGCGCGTGTGCGCGTGTGCGTGTGCTTGTGCGTGTGCGTGTGCGTGTGCGTGTGTGTGTGTGTGTGTGGGTGAAAATGTGTATCTCCGTGTCTAAATGTGTACGTGAATGTGAATGTAAGTGTAAGTGTATGCGTAAGTGTAAGTGCAAGTGTAAGTGCAAGTGTGAGTGCAAGCGTGTGTAAGTGTAAGTGTGTCTGTGTGTGTGTGTGTAAGCGTGTAAATGTGTAAATGTGTGAGTGAGTGTGTGTGTGTGAGTGAGTGAGTGAGTGAGTGAGTGAGTGTGTGTGTGTTCGCTGCACACCGGAGCTGAGAGTTCACAGCCTCAAGGTCTGGGTGTGTTCGACTCAGGGCCAGGGCACCCTTGGACACAACTTTCGTCAGTGTCGTTACTTATCTCAGCGAAGCCCTACCACGGCTTACTTGTATAACCCAACGTCCTGAGTCCAAGATCTCTGGAAGCTGGGAACTGACTGGCAGCGGAAGGAAGCCCAAATTCTGAGGCGCGGTTCTCTCCTGACCGCCTCAACCTGACAACGCACCCGCAATCCTCAATCCGGACACAGTGTACGTCATGAGCAAACCTCACTCCCTTTCCCGACTGAGGCTTGGGACCGTTTGAGGAAGGGGTGCCTCAGATTTCCATATCCAAGACTGCTTCCCCATCTGAAGGTATAGGAAAAGGCAGGCGGGGGGAGGGGGGGTGGGGGGGGCGGTCACTGAGGGGGCTGCTTGTAGGGTTTGGGCACCATGTGTCGGTGCGATCTTCTGGGGGTTCATGAAGGTGCAGAGCGGGTTTTGGGAGCAGCCGCAGGGCGCTTGGCTCATGATGGCTTCGGGGTACAAGTATGCTACAGGACCCTTGGCCCGCTGGGCAAGTCATGCAAACCACACGGTTTATAGGGTTTAGGGTTTGGGGTTTAGGGTTTAGGGTTTAGGGTTTAGGGTTTAGGGTTTAGGGTTTAGGGTTTAGGGTTTCAATGTAGAAGCATGGGATACGGGCCCTCATGTCAGGACATGCTCACCGAAGGCGAACTGCTTAAAGTGGAGCTGCTCCAACACTAAAAACAGGTATGGTTTGGGATGTTCCCCCTAATACGAACAGTCCTTATGAGGGATTCTATTGGGGTGGAGCGGGGGGATACTATAATCCCTATTAAGGAGCTGCTAGTACAAGGGGGAAAAAGCCCGAAACCCTAAACCCTAAAGCCTAAACGTAAGCCCTAAACCCTAAACCCTCATCCCAGGTGTGGGTTGCTTCGCCCAGGGGCTGCAACGCCTGCTGGGCGGTGGCCCGAGAGGACTGCTCAGCGCACATGAGCTGCCGGATGAGGCCTCACAAGGCCGGCGCTGGTTTTAAGCTTGTTGGGGTTTAGGGTTTAGGGTTTAGGGTGTAGGGTTTAGGGTTTAGGGTTTAGGTTTTAGGTTTTAGGGTGGGCAGGCAATGGGGGATCAGAGGCAAGACTCCAAGCACACCGCCCAATCACCCAAAGGGTTCTAAGTCAATGCCGGAAACCTGAAGCCCTAGACCTCTGAAACCTGCCGTCACACATTCAAGCGGTGTGTGTGACTTGAGAATGGGCCACCAAAGCTGGATCAGAGGGGATGGAGGGTGGCTGGACTTCGCTCGACATGCCAGCTCTCCACGTTAAGCGGGGGCCTGGGGGCCGTGAACATACATTGGTATGATTCAAGGGGGTGTATTATTGAGGCCCTGGGGTCTGTAGGCCTTTTGGAGGCCTAAATCGGTTCCGACCTTGGTTTAGGTTCCAAGGGCAGTGTACTGGAAGGTCTTGGAACTCTCGGAGCCTCCTTGCAAGGGCCTTCCGATCCCACTTCCTTCCTCCTCTTCCGCAGCCCAGCCCTAACAAACTCACAAGTACCGAAGACTTGCAGTTCAAGCAGCTCTTGGATTCACCGGAGACACGCTCCCAGCGGCTTCCCTCCATCCTCACATCAAGTCCAGGGCATCTGTTTCAGGATGTTCCGGGATCCCACTTCTACCAATGGGCAGCGCCACAGCCTGCTCATCAGCTCTCAAAGGCCCTAGGGTCGCAATATGTCTCTCCTTTATAAATATATTTATTTATTTATTAATTCATTTATTTATATCTCTCTCTTGTGAGAAAAGAGTATCTAAACTCCGAACCTCTGTTTTGTCAAGTGCTCCTGGCACTCGTGCAGACTCTTGCAGCTAGTTCAGAGAAAAGCAAACTTGCGTCTTACTTGGAGCCGCAATTGCAGCCAGGTCGCTTGTACAGGCAATGCTTCACCTTCTGAAGAACCTGCAGGATTCAGAGGGTCTCCCTTAGCTTCAAGTCTTACGAAGGGCGACATTCATAAACTCCAAGCAAGAACAATCACAAGGCTTGATTGCGGCTCTTGACGACGTCACAGTTTGGCAATTGACGCATACAGCTTGGCTTGGGTTTCGCGTGGTTTTATACAGGAGCAGTGTACCCTGTAACTTGAAGACAAGCACACGTGCCGTGTACAGGCCTCAGCGTCTGAGGTAGCGTAGAACGGCGGTGTGGCGCTCAGGGACATGTACAGCAGAACGCCTACAGCATGGCAGGCTTCACAGCGTCAAAGTCGTCTCTGCAAAAGCGTGGGGGGGAAGCCAAGATTTCAACGTGACAGGCTGCAGAACCCAATTGCGCGGATCAAAATCCGCATGACAGTTATCAGAGTTCCTCCGTTTAAGCCGAGGCCATGTGTTGCTCAGCTGCCTGTCAGGAAAAGTGTTGGACGGATGTGAGCTGTTACTTTGCAGCTATCCCAAACCTGATGAGCTCTGATATGGACAGGTGGGACATGCTCAAACCAACACCTTCTTGCGTTCTTTCCCGCAGCTGGGGGAGAAGAGCCACCTCAAAGCCATGAAGCCAGAAAGGGTTTAGGGTTTAGGGTTCAGGGTTTTAGGTTTAGGGTTTCTCTTCAGTCGCCGAAACATTCGTTTTCGCCTGCTGCCCAGCAGTCGACAGGGGTCCAGTATGGCTCCCCGCGCACGACCTGCAAGTCAAAGCAATGAAGGACGTTCGGGGCTTGGGATCTTCAACGTGGCATCGGTACTTCAGATTGCGGCTACTGCTGCGAAGATTCCAACTGCAAGGAGCATGCCAACTCCTCTTTATGGTAAGAGGTATAGGCCCCACAACCGTACAAGAGCCATAACAACTAAAGGCCCTAAACCCTAAACCCTAAACCCTAAACCCTAAACGCGGGGCTTAAATCGACAACACACCCACCTCGGGAGCGACAGTGTCGGGGGAGCCCATGCGTGTGGTGAGGCGGTAGTTCCTGGGCTCAGCCGTCAAGTCAGAAACCCTAAACCCTAGAACCCTAAAAGCCTAAACCCTAAACCCTAAACCCAGTGCTGTTAGGGACTCTTGTGGCTTCGGCCTTAGGACCGGGCGCAGCTTCTCAAGTTTCAAGATTGGAGGCTGGAGTTTAGTGGAGTTGGAAAGGTTCTGAGGGATGTGTGCCCGGATCATTCTTGGGATTTGTGCTCGCTTTCTCTTGGGAACTTGTTGTTTTGGGGTTTGGCATCGTGCCCTCGTGTGTGCCTGTGTCCCCTGCGCGTTTAGTTGCAACCCGGATTTTTGCATCGTTGCATGTATCACCTGATGCTTTCGCCGAGGTCCCGTGCACACTCCGTGCTCGAAGCCACAAATTGTCTACAGTAATAATCGAAAGCTTCTCATAGGACACCTCAATTGTCTCTGTTCTGGAACAACACCTGTGTTGTCTGTAATATGTCAGTTGGGAAACCGGCATTGTCTCTAGACTTTGATTTCAAAGCCTCTATTTCCTCTAAGGTCGAACAGGAATACTTAAACCTTAAACCCGAAAGTCCTTGGAGGTTTTGAGTGTTGTTTTGATTGTCGGTTTCCTTGCCGCTATATCATTTTGTTAAAGAAAACCTCAGTTCATCTATGGCTCGTAGGTAAACCTGGATTTTTCTCCATTCTCTCCACCTAACTGAGATGCTTTTACCTTTCCTCTTGGCCTTTCTTCAAAAGTTGAATAGAAAGCCCTCCTACTCCATTATGCAGTTTCCTCTCTCTGGGTCTCAAGAAGAACTCTACTTTACACATCAACCCTCTCCGACCTTACGAGGAAAAACTGCGACCAACCATCAAAAACCACAAAAACAAAACGCAAAAGGCATAAAAGCAAATTTACCAACAACAACATGAACAAAAGCAAACGAAGGAACCTGCGAAACAAACCAAAATCACAACCACAAGACCAAAACAAGCAAAAAAACTAAGACATTTCTGAAGGCTGGCAGGGGCTCTGAAGCCTAAACAAGTCACAGTAAGAGCTTTACGACTCTACGAAGCCAAGTCTAGCAAATCTCAATGCTCCTGATCGAATCATCTTTGGAGTTCCGGTTTGAAGTCTCGAGTTTTTTTCATCGTACGTGTGAGCATGGACACAGCAAAACAGCACAAGCAGCTGCGACACTGAGAGCTTTCGGATGAATCGTTTGGGCTTACAAAAGTCGTGTGGTGGGTGTCCCTTTGCCGCGCAAAACAGGATCTCTTGCCAACCTTGCCGGCCAAAGTGTCGGAGGTTCCGGTCGCGCAGCGAAACCGAAGTCGCAGAGCTTGTAGGTATTTTGCTCAGGAGGGGCTCCTACCGGAATCAAGCTGAGGTTTGGAGCTTCCGACCTGCGTTCGGATGCCCAGGTGTGCAAGAGCTGTACAATGGGCAGAGGCTTGCTGAACGAGAGCACGGACAGAAGCTCGGGAAGCGGTCCTTTCTGCGAGAGCAGCACGTTCTCACCTTTGAAGAAACCACTGATGGTCTTGCTTGAAAACTCTAACTGACATCAAAGTAGACCCAGGGCCCACACAGTATTGCTGAACCCCTCCATCGAAAGAGCATGAGGATTACGGGTAGGGGTGATCGCAGTCTGAGTCTGCAGGGGGGCAAGCGAGCTGACTTAGAGTTTTGTTCCGCTGCCAAGCTGAAAAATGCCGCAAAAACAGACATGGGTCGAGACGAGATCTCGGGCTGACACAGCGAGGATTCCTGGTACGAAGGGCAAGGGACTTCCGGGCGATGGTTAGTAAAAGAGGTTCAAAGCGATTTCTGAACGTCCACAGCACTGGAACATCGTCTTACATCCGGCCAACGGCAAATCCTCCCTGCAGCCCTGCAGCACTTCACGTCGCGATGCACCACAGGGAGTTCGTGGAGGAAAGCCAGCGCCGAGAGCAGATGCCTTTGTCAGGGTGCTGTTTAGTGTGCTTTGCAAGGCTGCGAGTGTCGGCCAAGGTTCTTGGGTTTCTAGATTCAGGACCTATCCTTGCGTGGGTTGCGGAGGCTCGGGTTTGAACTGGCTTGCACAATGGGACTTGGGATGCGTTGGTGCTTCTTGGGCAACATCAACACTGGTCAGACATGATCAGACCATAGCACCCTTCATTCGCACAACGCGCTCTCCACGTGCACAGAGACTCACACCCAATCAAAGAGCCCAACAAAGCCAACGTGGTGCAGGAGTGTGCTTCAGGAGTGTGCTTCCGGCTTCTTATTTCAATGCAGCTGCATTTGTGAAGGGAGCAGAAGCAAGGCTGAAACTTGGGGCACCTTCGAGAACCTAGGTGCTTGAGGTGCACGGCTTCAGGAAAGGAAATTCAGAACCCGAATTTCGAACTCAACCAACGTCAAGGTCCCACATGCCCAGCACATGACAATGCCCTGAAGCATGTGGGGGTTTCCGAAATTAGGTTCGTACCTTGTTGGGGTCCCTATTCTAGGGGAATCCTACTGTTTGTTTGGGGGACTACATTAGGGTCCCTTCCACCGCTCAAGTCAAAGCCTAGATTTGGGGGTTGCCGAAAATAGGGGGTACCCTTAATGCATCACCAAGATAGTATAACCCTGATTTAGGAACCCCCAAAACGGCACCCTGAATATATCCCCAAGATAGCATAATCCTTAATTAGGAACCCCCAAAAGGGTACCCTTAACACATCCCCAAGATAGTATCATCCTCATTATAGGAACCCCCAAACCCTAAGCCCTAAGCCCTAAGCCCTCAGCCCTCAGCCCTAAGCCCTAAGCCGTAAACCCTAAACCCTAAACCCGAAACCCTAAACCCCCCTATTTTCGGAAACCCCCATTTGGACAGCCGAGGTGCACTTGTATTCGTGCGGAACACGTCTCGGTCAAGCCTCCTTGCGCTGCTAGGGTTTAGGGTTTATAGGGTATAGGGTATAGGGTTTAGGGTTTAGGGTTTAGCGTTTAGGGTTTAGGGTTTACGGTTTAGGGTTTCGGGTTTCAAGCGCGTGACGGCTCTTGTCTACACCAGCACAAGATACAGGGGCAAACCGTCTTGGCATATGAAGGACCTATGTGTAACATATAGTGGTCCTGATTTTGCGTTCGGACAGTTTAGAGCTGTGGCCGTGTCTCACATGGTGCAGGGCTTGTCTCCTGAAATGTTTTTGGAAGTTGTGCAACCTGTGTTGTTGATCTCTAACTAGCGGTTTAAGGACGTTTTTTCTGGAGTGTGGAACGCTGTGGGGCTGCGCGTTTTGAGCTTGCTTGCGCGAGCGTTTGCTATCTAGAGCGCCTCGCCACGTACGGATCCATGGACCTAAATAACATAAACTCTCCCCGACAACAAACAAGACACCATTCATGATATGGCTGGCACAACGTCTCCATCCTTGGGGGGCTTCACTACACAAATGTAGCCTACATTTTATCGGGAGACTCCCAGGCAAACTTTAAGGAAAACCTTTCAGAATTTCCAGTTTAGATTCAGATATTCATAAGATTCTTAATAAGAGAAGAGGACAGGAAGGGAGGAGCGGGGGAGAAGATCAAGGGGAGAAAAGTCCCCCCCCCCCCTCCCTGCTAGACGTGGTGAGCAGGAGATCATACTGGCCTGTTTTGGCATGCGCGGCAACGAGATCGAAGAGGTCACCGCCATTGCAGCATTCCATGACCTGCATCTCGATAGCTTACCCGCGGAGGACAACCGTGCCCCAACAATGCTCAAAGCGTCTCAAGCACTACTTACTTCCGCTCCGATTTGGACTCTCTAGCCAGATCTGCTCCCGTGACCAGGAAATTTCGTAGGCCCAAAGCCCCGCCGCAACTGCATGCCCAAATTTGTGACCCGTGCAGCACACCATCCCTCATGGGTTTTGAGGATGTGGAAGTTGAGGAATCGCACTTTGCCTCCTTTGATATGATTAGCTTGAACGAAAGGCGGAGCAACTTGTAACCTGTGATAACGCTTGCCTGGTTTGAACCTGCCGTCAGCCTGCCAGCAGGTACTCCTAAACCTGGAAAACCTGTAAAACTTCAATGCGCGTGTCTATGCTGGCACTATCGTGAAGCAATCCACAGCATCTGCCTGTTACCTACAGAAATGACATTGGGAGTGAGCGCAGCCTCAACCCCCCGAACCCTATACCCTAAACCCCTAGCTGCCCTAGCTTCTTGCTCATCCAAGGCACGAGTGACACCACGTCAGCATCCTGGAACACTTCGTAGAGTCCCACGATGTGCCTTCCACGCAATGTTTAGAGATCGGGCTACTACCACTACAAGTACTAGCCTAGCAGGCGATCAGCCGTGGCCGTTGCGAAAGCATTTGCAGAGAGACAAGAGGGTGGACCAGGCGACTGAAGAACCGCTTTCCTGTGTGCGCAGCTGGAGTCTGAACAGGGCCTTCAAGCACGCAACCTGAAGCACGCTGTGCGGACCATCATAAAGGCTAGCCACGGTTGCTAATTGCAACACTTTCCTGGAGGATTCCTATATGTACATTGCGCATAACACCGGAAGAGATTCCCTGCGGACCCCAAACCACTGCACCCTCAAACACTGAAACTCCGGGGCATAACCTTCCGCAACTGCAGTTGCACCCCTGAGCTAACACAAAACACAGGTCCACGACGAAACTGCACTGTTGGATCATCCATATGTTCCAAGCGGATTCCCGCCACACTTTGCAGAGGACGGCTTCGAGTTTGGAATAGAGAAAATATGGGGCTTTACGATGACAAGGGACCCCTAACATAGACCCCCAAATAGTAGGATCCCCTTATAATATGGGCCCCGGTAAAGTGCCCCCAATACCGTAAGCCCCACATGGCTTCCACCGTTACTCACCGTTCAACCTGAAGGATGGTGAGGATTATTGAGATGTGGATGCCTTTTTGTGCACGGGATGCACCAAAGTTGTTGGAGTTTTCAGCATCGGCTTGTTTCAGAAGCATTCTCACAGCGAGCTCAAGGAGGCTACATGTCTGTTGCTGGCAGGCTACGGGTGCGCCAGCCCCAGATGCATCTTGATCTCCCCCTGCACACGTGTCGGGATGAGGGTTCAGAGACTATGGATGCACAGAGTGAAGTCTCATCCACGGATCAAGAAACTTGACCCTCGATACAAGTACCACCTGCAAACGGCATTCGCTTGAAACTTCTGAAAAAGAAGCCGATGTCACCCGAGAATGCATCCTAAGCCTTCCGCAGCCCGAAGCCGAAGCTTCAAAAACCGAAGCCCAGCCCGTGGCCTCCAGGTGTCCATCCCCGAACAGGTTCCGCACATCGCGCGGCGCCAGCCGAGCCTTGGATTCAAGGTTCAGATTCAGGCGCCCATGACTTCGGGGCCGGGATTCCAAAACCTTCGCATCGGGCTCGATGATTTCAGAGCGCAAGGAGGCCCAGGCTTTGGGGCTGAGCCACCCTAAACCCTAAAAGCTGTTGGGCTGTTCAAAGTTTTGAGGTTTCAGGGGTCTGAGGCTTTTCCCAAGTGGCCTTGGCAATGCGCTTGGCTGCACGCTCTTCGCAGCCTGCCAATGCCACGATTAGAACTACTCTGTCTTGAAGGGTGTGGAAGTGTTCCACGCCAGCTTGCCTGTGGAGCTTGGGACTTTGCAGCTAGCTTTGGAGATTGGGGTTCCAGGTGATTCTGGGTCAGAGGATTACTGGAAGTCGGTCGTGGGCGTGGCTTGAGTGCCAAGCTCCATGCGGTTGGATGAGATGCGATTTGTGCCTGAAAATTGCTGGGAGCAATTGCTGTGTGGCTACAAAGACACTCAACTCGAAGGGGACCATGTACTTGATGGGGCTCGGAGACAGGGCAGCGCATCCGTGGCTTCGAGAAGTCACCCCGCCTGCTGCAGCGTCTCCATCACACTTCCAGCGCTGACAGCGCCAAACTAGGCCAAAGCTACCTGCAGCAGACGCCGGTCGGTGGACTGCTTGCTGTTCCTAAGAGGGAGTATTAAAGTATTAGGCTTGTCAGCTAGCTTCCTAAACCCAATCGATGAAGCCTTATTAAGCCCTGGCATCGACAGCGCATACCCCAAATCGTAGGCCTAGGAGTAGCAACATGTAGCAGTAGTAGCAGCCAGACCTTCTCCCAAGGGCGCGTCGCCCAAGAGCATGTAGGACGCCTGGACAAGGGGGCTGTTGCAACATGGTGAGCAGAAAGTGCCACAGTTTCTGGGAGAGAGGCATTGCATTGCAGTTCTGATCGATGGCGTGAACTTCTGGATGACATGCGGAGGCCCAAGAACCCTTCATGACACCTTACACCACGACTACAAGCAATGCAAAGCTACGCCAACACATGAGGCCCTGCTTCGAGGTTCGTCACGCTTTGACATGCAAAGCTGACTTGCGACGGGTCACGTCTGGAGCTGGGAATCTCAAAAACGAAATCAACCCATGTTTTTTGCATCCTGCCGCCCTACAATGCTCCTTCAGTTATAGTCATAGTGATGACAATAATAATAATCATCATAAAAATAATAATAGTAGTAACAATAAACAATAATAAGAATAGTAAGAATAGTAATAATAATAGTAACAATAATAGTAATAATCAAAATCATCATGTCCTGCTACTGGTACCGGTACTGTTCGACAGCCTCGAAGCTGCCCGGCTCGGCATTGTTCGGCGCCTTCCAGGTGGCATGCACTCAGCTCTTATTCTTATTATTCTTATTATTCTTATTATTCTTACTATTCTTATTATTCTTATTATTCTTGTTCTTATTATTCTGATTATTCTTATTCTTATTATTCTGATTATTCTTATTATTCTTATTATTCTGATTATTCTTATTATTCTTATTATTCTTATTCTTATTTTTCTGATTATTCTGATTATTCTGATTATTCTGATTATTCTGATTATTCTTATTATTCTTATTATTCTTATTATTCCTTATTCGTATTATTCTTATTACGTCCTTATTACGTCATTATTTCGATTATTCTTATGCATCATTCTTCTTATTCTCTTATTCTATTCGTTATATTCGATTATTCTTATTCTTATTATTCTGATTATTCTTATTATCGTATTATTCTGCTTCTGCATTATTCTTATTATTCTTATTATTCCTATGATTCTTATTATTCCTATTATTCTATTATTCGTATCATTCTTCTTATTCTCTTAATCTATTCTTAATATTTCCTGATTATTCGTATTCTTAGTATTCTGAATTAAGTCTATTATTCTTATTATTCTGGATTATTCTTATTATTCTTATTATTGCCTATTATCTTATTATTCCTATTATTCTCATTTTCTTAATTATCTTATTATTCTTACGATTCTTATTATTCTTATTAGTCTTATTATTCTTTATTATTCTTATTAATTCTTATCATTCCTTCTATGCTATTATTCTTACATTCTTCTTAGTCTATTATTAATTCTTATTATTCTTATTAATTCTTCTTATTCTTAATTATTTCTAATTATTCTTATCATTCTTCTTATCTTATTATTAATTCGTCTTATTCTTATTATTCTTATTATTCTTATTATTCTTATTATTCCTTATCTATTCTTATTATTCTTATCATTCTTCTTATTCTTATTTATTCTATCATTCTTCTTATTCTTATTATATTCTTATTATTCTTATTCTTATTATTCTTATTATTCTTATTATTCTTATTATTCTTATTATTCTTATTATTCCTATTATTCTTATTATTCCTATTATTCTCATTATTCTTATTATTCTTATTATTCTTACTATTCTTATTATTCTTATTATTCTTATTATTCTTATTATTTTTTATTGTTATTATGACTATGGTTATGACTTTTACGATTATGGTTCTTATGATTATTATTTTTGTTCTTGACAACGCAACGCTGCCAGCTTGGGAGCCACCAAACTGGGCCAGTGAGCAAGTTGCGCCTCAGCGGCCTCCTCTTCACCTGCTTGCGCGCGCTTCTGAGATGCTTGGGAAAAGCTCCGGGGTTTAGGGTTTAGGGTTTAGGGTTTAGGGTTTAGGGTTTAGGGTTTAGGGTTTAGGGTTTAGGGTTTAGGGTTTAGGGTTTAGGGTTTAGGGTTTAGGGTTTGGGGTTTAGGGTCCGTGTTCGGAATTTCTCTTTTCGTCTTCGAGGGCTAGCTTGATGTGCCATTGCATTGCCTTTCCGTCCCTGCGGAACTACAAAGGAGCAACAACTTATACTCACTGTCACTATACTACTGCCATCTACTTTTGCCATTTGCCTGTCACTCTAACGAACCATGCTTCTATCAAACTCGGTGTCAAGGTATTGTATGGACCCGCAATGCCCCTTACAAAACACCCACAATGCGGGCCTCCGTGCTCCTCCTCAAGATAAAGGACCATGCTTGCATGGCCCTTGCAGATGTTCTAAACCCTGAACCCTAAACCCTAAACCCTATACCCTAATACCCAAAATCCCTTAATACCCTAATACCCTAGCATCTACAGCTGCCGCAGGATGAACGGACGAACAGCCGGAGCGGCGGGCCTTCTGCGGCGGACATCTGCGTGACACTGGCCTGCAAGGTCAACCCCCGGGTCGACAGGGCGATGAGAGTTTCAGGGGGGGTTTAGGGGTTTAGGGGTTTGGGGTTTAGGGTTTAGGGTTTAGGGTTTAGGGTTTAGGGTTTAGGGTTTAGGGTTTAGGTTCATGGTTTTGACCAGGCATTTAGACCATGCTTTACGATGCCCTCGGCTCACGGGGCTCCTATGTCTACAGGCTCGAGGCCACCAGTGCCTCAAAGGAGTGCAAGCTTCAAATACTCCAAAGCGACATCGAATACTTACGGCTCAAAGGGGCTAGCCCCGATCCCAAACCCCTGCGCACCTCCCGGCAGAGGAGGTTCTGGGAGCTCTCCTCGCATGTCTGCAAGCCCAAAAAAACTGGACGGGAAAGACCCGTTTGCTGAGACTTCGCTATATCCAGATCCTGACGCTGTGGCATGGATCCTAAATCAACGACGGTCGCCAGAAGAAGCTGAAAACTCCCACAAGTTCAAGGGGAGTCAGTCCCGACGGAGCTCGCTCGCTTGGCGGCACAGGTGGGAGGCACTGGCCTGGCACCGCAAGAGCAGCGCGCAAGTGGCAGGAGTTACGGTGTGTATGTAGGAAACAAAGGCCAGGTAGGTCAAGGGGGTGAGCATACATATATATATATATATGTATACGCACACCATACAGATGTACAAAAAATGAAGAAACACATCTATACATAATTAGACAAGCAAGGCAAAGTGCTCTTGTGAGTGTGGCGCCTCTCTTTGCGCTCGCCCGCCCTGAACTTGAAAGGTAACATGCTGTAGCACATGGGGTAAGCGGTTCAGCGTCAACTAGCAATGTCATCAAACACTTCCCTCCTGCAACCCTTTCAGACAATCGTCGGTCCAGCTGACTCAGAGGGCCTTGAGAGGCTATACCCTAAACCCTAAACCCTAAACCCTGAACCATGCAAAGGACGCCTCAGCTGGAGCACTTTTATTACAGGGTGCTGCGCAGTACCTTTGTCACTTAAAGGGTGATACCTGGGTATGCATCACAAGATGAAGTCCGCCAATGTGGACACGACTCCTTTATAAGGACCCAGAAACGGCGGTTGCAATTGAAGAATGGCAAGCGGTAATTGTACATGAAATGCTTCAGCTCAGTTGAGCAGCAGCGCGTCATAGTGCAGCCTGCCCTGGTACAGCACCTGCACCGCCTTCCTGCCCTCGCCGAACTTGGCAATGCGCGCAAAGCCACCCCGGCGGGCTTCATACACTTCCACCATCACCCTGCGGCTCTTGGCCAGCACGGCCAACTCAATGCCACCCCCCCAAGCACCCCTGCGAAGCTGGCCGACATAGCCGCTAACGCTGCGGCCTGAGTCCATCTTCACCCAATCCTGGAGTGCAGTGCCGATGATCTGAGAGTGGGGCTGCCTCTCGATGAGCTGTGCAGCCTCCTCGCGCAAGGCACGGGCCGAGGTCCCGCCGAGCCCAAAGGCCAAAGCGTGGAAGAGGCAGGAGCCGTCACCGGGCTGGGGAACAACCCTTCCCCTGGACACGAACTTCTGATCTGCCTGGCTTGCAGCCACCAGGTGCGACTTGCCGACGAGCTGCCAGGCATCAGGGTGCTGGTCCCTGGGCTTCTTGAAGTGTGGGCAGTCAGTGGTGGCATGGTTACCGTCGCACTTGTCGCATGTGAGCTTGCGCTTTTGGGCCGGCCTTTGCTGGGGCCCCTGGGGCTTCTCCTGCTGCTGGGATTTGGAAGGCTCTGGAGGGTAGGCTGGGTTCGCGGGGCGCTTTCCGGTCTCCATGGGGCTGAAGGACGTGCGAGCTGGTGGAGGGTTTGCCCGAGGCGCAGGGGCACAAGATGCCGGCGGCTTGTTCGCCTGCGGATTAACATTCGGCTGTGGCTTCCGCATTTCGGCGTATAGCTGCATTGTCTGGCGACGAAGAATCTCGGGTCCACCGCCATATTGCTTCCGCAAAAACTCCCAAACCTTCTGGTTGACTGCGCGGTAGTCTTTCTGGACTTTCTTGTCTGGCAGCGGGGACCCATCTGCGCCGACAAGGTTGCAGTTGGAAATCGGACCTGGGAGAGCACCCTTGCCGTTCGCGAAGTCTTTCCACCGCTGCAGCCACTGTGAACACACAAGGAACCACACCTGCAAGGGCAGAAGGGACACAGACGGGGCGGTTTAGACTCATCAGACAGTGGAGAGCGAGCGAGAGAAGCAAGAGAGAGGAGAGCGAGGAGATTGCGCATCGGGAAGGAGAGGGAGAACGAGGCTGCGTAAGGTCTCGACACACTGCTGCTGTGGCACCTCGCTGGTCTTCGTGTCATGCGCGTACACAAACTGCTTCTCCTGTTCAGCACGCTTGCGAAGGCGAGCCCGCTCCGCGATCTCAGCCTCCTCAGGAAGTGCTGGGATGCAAGGGGAACCAACGAGAATTGCAGAGATCATAATATGATGTGATCTCGTGTAATATATATATATATATATACATATACATATATATATGTATATATATCCGCCGACCCCAGCCGGGGGCGGCGTCAGTGAAGACCCATTGCCCCTACCACCTACTCCACCCCATCCAAAGCTCTGGCCCATGCTCCCACTCTCCATCCCCTTGACCTACCCCTCATGGACCCAGCTCCCTACCCCTTACCCCTCACGCACCCTGCCCCGCCGCCCATGCCCCTCATGGATCCATGGGTTCTGGCCCCACGGCTCCCCTCCGCCCCTACCCCCACCACCCACGCACCCGCTCCCCGCCCATCCGCCCTTCCCGCTCCGCATACATTCCCCTTGCCCAAGCCCCCCACGCACCCCGCCATGCTTTTCATGGACCCATGGCTCCTGGTCCTATTCTTCATGCATCCCTTGAGCTGCTCCACCCCCACCACCTACTCCACCCCATCCAAAGCTCCACTCTCCATCCCCTTGACCTACCCTTCATGGACCCAGCTCCCTACCCCTTACCCCTCACGCACCCTGCCCCGCCGCCCATGCCCCTTATGGATCCATGGGTTCTGGCCCCACGGCTCCCCTCCGCCCCTACCCCCACCACCCACGCACCCGCTCCCCGCCCATCCGCCCTTCCCGCTCCGCATACATTCCCCTTGCCCAAACCCCGCACGCACCCCGCCATGCTTTTCATGGACCCATGGCTCAAAGCTCCACTCTCCATCCCCTTGACCTACCCCTCATGGACCCAGCTCGCTCCGCTTCCCTATGTGCCCGAGTTACTCCCTCATCCAACACCAACCCTCACTCCCCCCTCCACAGTCACCCCCCCCCCCCACCCCACCCCCACCCCCGACATTCCTTCACTCCGCCCGCACCCACGCCACCCCACCCCCCACTCCCCACCCCCCCCCCACCCCCTCCCACCCCCTGTCCTCCGCCGTGGGCCTCCAATCTTTAGTTAGGTGTTCCCAATGCACGCCGCCCGGGCCCACCCCCCACCCCCTCCTCCTCCCAACCTCGTCCCTACCCTTCATACGCCCCCCCCTTCCCCCCCCACCCATGGCATGCCTCCGCCTCTCTCACCCCCACCTCTTTCCCCCACCCCCGCCCCCCCCCCCTCCTCGACCCCCCCCTCCACCCCACCTCTGCTCCCCCCCTCCACTCACCCCCCCCCCACACCCCACCCCCCCGACATTCCTCACCCCACCCCGCACCCACACCCCACCCCCCACTCCCACCCCGCCCCCCACCCCCTCCCACTCCCCTGTCCTCCGCCGGCCAATGCACGCCCACCCTGGTCCCACCCCCCACTCCCCTCCCCCTCCCAAACCTCGTCCCCTTACCCTTCCACGCCCCCCCC